CTCAGCCAGTGAGCGGGAACCGGTCTGTATGTGGGATCCGAACCCTCGGCGGGAGCACCAGTGCGCTCCCAAGCGGCGCACTGTAGCAGTGCGCCACCGGGCCGGCCCCTGAGCAGACTTCTGATTAGGGTTTATAAAGACCTTTCTGACTATAAGCCTGCAGCAGTGCCTCTTTATTTTAGAAGTATTTAAGCTGTTCTGTTTGGAAATTCCTGGATAAAGTGAAGGCAGGAGAATTCTAAGTGACCAGTAGTAACAATGTTTAGTAAATGTTTATGTATTTCCAGAAGGGACTAGTATGTCACCATTTAAAAAATATTTGAAGAGTTTATTAAAAGGTGGTTAAAGTGTTTATATTTTAACATTTAGAATAAAAAGCAGATACAAAGTAGGATTCCTGTGTAACTAACACTATTTTTAAAACCTACTTATAGAGATCAGGCTGAAAAGTATCATGGTATTACCAATGAATGTTTTACAATAGGATTTTCTTTTCTTTCTCTATTCTGTTCTGTATTTTCTAAAATAAGCATGTATTGTCTTTATAAATACAAAGCTTTGTACCCTAGTTTTTAGAAAAGTATGGGAAAGCAGGTAGACTACTGGAAAGTTATTCTTTTTTTTTTTTTTCCTTTTTGTCTTTTTTACTGACCGGTAACGGGATCGCAACCCTCGGTAACGGGATCGCAACCCTCGGTGTCGCGCCCGTACCAGGGACTGGCAACGGGATCGCAACTCTCGGTGTTGCGCCCGCACCACACTCAGCCAGTGAGCGGGACCTGGTCTCCACATGGGATCCGAACCCTCGGCGGGAGCGCCACCACGCTCCCAAGAGGCGCACTCTCCAGTGCGCCACCAGGCTGGCCCTGGAAAGTTATTCTATTCTTTGCAGATAGTCTAAATGCCTTCTGAAATTCTAGTCCTTTTTAATTTAAATGCAGATACAGAAATGCAGTTGAATTTCAAGGCTCATTTCTTTTGAAAGCTTTTGTTGTTCCTGTTTCTTACCTTGTTAAGTTCTTATCCCTGTGTAGACAAACTTTAATTAGCTAAATTAAGTAAAATGCTCCAAGTAGAACTTTTTTCAGTTTAATTTTTTTTAAAAGTTAGCTGTGTGACCTTGGGCAAGTACTTTCTCTGTACCTTTGTTTTTCTCATCAGAGATAATAATAATAAAGGTGCCTGTTTCATTGGCATGTCACAAGGATTGAATGAGCTAATCCATGGAAGGCATTTAAAACAGTCTGTGGCATATAGTAATACTCAATAGGTATTGGCTATTATTATTTCTCTAAAAGGCAACACACTCACACAGTGTGGAGAGGTAACCAAATAATTGTAAGTGACTTGTAATTGGGGACATAAGTAGGTTGCCTTACTGTGCAACTGGAAGTGAGGGGTGGTGGTTTTTTTTCTTTCATAATGAAACAAGGCAGACTTCAAAATTTTCTAGCTATGAAAATTTTAGTAGGAATGAAAACATTTTTTTATTGATAAATTCCAGTGATGTTTACCCACTTTGTAAAATCTAGTCTTCTGTATTTTTTCAAGAAGAGTGGTAGCAGAATAATTCTCTGCTTTTCCCTTCCATTTCTCCAATTTCATATGCCCTTCTTTGCTCCTCCTATCTCCTCAGCGGGCTCCTCCATTCCATTCTGTCTGTGTTTAGCCTTTACTGAGAATCTGACTCTCTGTATGTGAGTATCATTTGTTTCAGTGTACTGCTTTTTGCTCCTCTCTATTTTATTTCCCTTTATTAGTCTGTCTTGGTTTTTCTCCCTCACTCCTTCTTTTCCTTGTCCTCCGTTCTGCTGCCTGTGCTCTTAACTTGACCTTGATATCAACATTGAATTTTTCTTATTATTTGTTACATTTATTGACTCGTTTCCATGTTCCCCATTCTTAATTTTTAACGTTTCTATTTCTAAAAAGAAATACTTGTATTTCCAGGACTGGCTGGTTAGCTCAGTTGGTTAGAGCATGGTGTTAGTAACACCAAGGTCAAGGGTTCAGATCCCCTTACTGGCCAGCTGCCAAAAAAAGAGAGCGAGAAGGAAATAGTACTATTTTGAACTTATGTGGTCCCTGATTTTTGTTAGTGATCTTAATAGGAAAAAAAGTCTCAGGGCTGACCCGTGGCTCCCTTGGGAGAGTGTGGTGCTGAGAACACCAAGGCTCTGGGTTCGGATCCTATGTAGGGATGGCCAGTTAGCTCACTGGTTGAGTGTGGTGCTGACAACACCAAGTCAAGGGTTAAGATCCCCTTACTGGTCATCTTAAAAAAAAAAAAAAAAAAAGTCTCTGACCCTGGTATGAGATTGATCTGTGTATTAGTCTGTTTCTATTGCTTATAACAAAATACTTGGAACTGGGTGATTTATAAGAAAACAAAATTTACTGCTTACAGTTTCTGAGGCTGGGAAGTCGAATCCATTGGTGAGGGTCTTTGGTGGTGGCTTTACAGCAGTGCAGGGGTGTCACATGGCAGAAAATGACGGAGCAGAGAGAGAAAGAGACTCTCATGGGCTATTCTTTTAAAGCCCAGGACCACCATTAAACCATCAACTTAATCACCTCTTCAAGGCTCAAGGCTCCACCTCTCAGTTATCATAATAGGATTTCCCACTCTCTCAACACTGTCACAGTGGTAGCCAAATTTCCAATAGTTGGAACTTTGGGGACACAATTTAGGCTTCAATCAGTTTGGCAGGACAGTCAGTCCACAGCAGACTGAATGATGACACATTGCAGGATTTAATCTGGAAGGATCTTAATTTTGTGTTAAAACTAATTTCTAGGGCCGGCCCTGTGGCTCACTCAAGAGAGTGTGGCACTGGTAGCACCGAGGCTGCAGGTTCGGATCCTATATAGCGATGGCCAGTGCGCTCACTGGCTGAGCGTGGTGCAGACAGCACTGTGCGGAGGGTTGCGATCCCTTTACTGGTCAGGGGGAAAAAAAAACCAAAAAACCCTAATTTCTAATAGCTTCTTTTTGCCTCTGGTTTGTCTTGTCTCTTGAAGTATTAACATAAATAACTGCTATGGTAGATTTAAGTTTTAAGCAGGCTAATTCTATAGTGCTAAGATTTTGATCAAGTTTTAACCGGTACCTCATCTTTCTTTAAATTTTAGCCTTTACTGAAATATGTCAGATATACAGATTAAATCTGATGGCTGTCTAAATGGTGAAATGTTTACTTTACATTTGATTCGATATTACAGGTAACATTCAGATATCCTGGATTGATGACACATCAGCATTTGTTTCTCTCAGCCAGCCTGAACAAGTACAAATTGGTAAGTGTTTTGGACATCTGTTTTGTGTGTTAAATGGAGTGGGAGCTTGCCTTCCCTTCTGCCCCTCAATTTAAAAGCTGGGGCTTAGTCAGCTTATACACAAGCATTGCTGCCTGGTTTGTTTTTGAGCTTGTCTCTAAAATAAAGAAAATAATTAGTAAATATCATGTATAGATGTGAAAATAAGACAAATTTTTTGATTTGTTAAGATTTCACTTACCTCCGTTCTGTTCCTTTCCCATGGTGCTTTTTCTAAAATGAGTTGCAGATTTACTTTGAGAATTGGAAGTAGTAAGTTGAGAGGAATGGGGAACACCAAAAAGTGATATCTACGTTGACCTGTTTACCTGTGTACTTGTCCCATTTATTTATACGTCTTTCTGGTTTATTCACTCCATTAAATTGTTTCTAATACCTGTTTTACAGACAAATAAATTGAGTGATACTTTATTTGCTACTAAAATAGGGTCCGAAGAAGATGGAGCATCACATCTCTTGTTGGACCCTAAATAATTTTGATATTAGCCACCACTCAATGTTCTATTCTCTTAAAATGAAAAGTTATCAAAGAAAATATGTATTGTTAAGCTACATAATCGAATAGATTTTAGGTACCCTGGTGCTTAGTAATGTAAAATGTGTGAAAATTTTAAGTGATTTGTCTAATTTTTTTATTTAACAAAGAGCCACACCCTAAAACTATATAATTCTGATAACTGTTGAATAATTATGAATGAAAACTATTCATTTGAAAACTATTCATAATGGTAACTGTTAAATAATTATGTATGAAAACTTCTACAAACATGCAAATTCAGATCGGAATATTTTGGTATTTTTAACTATCTGACCATTGCAGAAATACAGGCTGTGTTGTAGAGGTTAAAAGCTTAGACTCTTGGAATACTGCCACACCACTTATAGTTGTGTGACCTTGGTCACATTACTTAACCTTGATAAGTTTTTGTTTATCTCCATAAACTGAGGGTGATACTATGGACTTGTTAGGGTTATTGTGAGGATTACATGAGATTATATATATATAAAGCTTGGCATAGTTTTGAACTTTTACTATGGTTACTTTGTAGCAGATTTAATGTGAAATGTACTTCGGGAGCACATGACACCAAGGATAGTTAGTGTTAGATTCAGGGTATGAATGATGTTGCTTGTGAAATATTTTAATTTTTACTTAGATATATTTCTGTGATTCATTCCCTCATAATCCTTAGAAAGATAGTTCAGAAAGAATCCAAAGGGATCAAATTATTAGAGAGCTAAAGATAACTTCTAGTGGGGGCTAGGGACCCTGAGGTTAAGATTGTAGTGAAGCTTCAGTGTGGTTGAAAGAAGAGTGAACTAGAATTCCTGACCCACAGTCCAGTCCCAACTCCTCTCTGCCCAGTGTCCACTCTTTAGCTCCCTCGCTGGTCACACTTGGGTGGCATCGAAGCCATGCAGTGATATGGAAGGAGATACGTAGGCTTTGAAGTCAGACTGATATGGGGACTAACTTTGGCTCCGCTATTTGTCAGCCATGTGTCTTTGGGCAAGTTATGTAAACCTTACTGTAAGCCACAGGTTCCTCATTTGTGAGAGAGAGATGATAACAGTTACTTTGTAGGATTGTTGTGAGAATGAAATGAGATTATGGATATTAAGTTCCCAGCAAAGCCTCTGGCACTCCTCAGTCAGTGCTTGATGAATGGCAAGTAATTATTAAAATATCTGCTTGGCCCTACTTGCTGTGAACAGTAAAAACGAGAGTGGAAAGGTGCTTTGAAATCTGTAAAATACTAGTGAGTAGTGTTTACTTAAAAATACAAGCATAATTCCTTGTTTATGTGTATGGGATCTCAGAGTTTCTTTTATGAATTTTTTTATTTTGTGGTGGTGGTTATTGTTTTTTGGCAGCTGGCCAGTACAGGGATCAAAGTTTCTTTTAACGTTTCTGTTATACCAGATTTGATGTCAAGTTATGATTGCTCTGCTACTGATTATGGGAAGATTCTTCAAACAGTAGCTTTTAAGCTAAGTGTTTTATTCAATAACTAAAATCAGGGAGATACATTTCAGAATCATGCATAGCCATAGAAGCACTCTGTTGTATTCAATTGATCGGTTTGTGTTGCTTCCCTGAGGGGCCGTGTTGTTCACCACTGAATCCTCTCTCGTGCCTGGCACACTCTGTGTGTTTGAATGGTAATATGAGGAACAGGCCAAGATGAAATTGTGACCTTTAACCTTTTTTCTCTTAGTTAAGGAGATGACTGTTTTCTTTTGATATATGCAACATTGCTAGTAAAGTTTAATTTTCCACTATAATCTCCTTTCTTACACAAAAGATAACTCAACAAAATACCTGGCAATTTGAACATGCTGTGTCTTTGATCAAAGTTTCTTTTGACAGAAGCCATCTTTTACTCAACCATCCCCTCCCTCCAGAGCCCTGCTACACCCTATTTCCAGTTTCATCTTAGCTTAAACATCAGTTTCTCTGGATGTTTTCTCTGTCTCCCTTTGTAGGGGGTTGGATCCTATTCTCTGTGCATGCATAGATCCTTTACACCTGTTTCATTGTTTTCACAGATAGACTGTAAACTCCTTGAGAGCAGGGACCATATCTCTTGGCCACCACTGTTTTCAGTGCTTAGAATAGTAGTGTCTGACATGAGTAGGTAAATGTTAAATATTTATTGAATTGAGTAAATGATATTCATGGTATTGTGACTTAGAAATGCCTTTTTCACACGTGACGTACATTCTAATGTCTCTGGTCTTTTGCTGTGATTTCTAAACTTATACAGATGTTCGATTGAAAAACATAATGATGAGAGGGACCTAGGGTAATGTGCTGCAAATCCTATTAATGTTATCCTAAACAAATTACTAATTCATTTTAGTGGATGCAGAGGGCCTGTTAGATCAATAATGTAACATTATATAATCATTAAATGCCTATTTATATAGCAGCTCATAATGGCTTCTTTGGCTCTGTCACAAACTATTTCTGATTTACATTGAAGGAGTTGCTTTTTAACTGACACTTGTCTTTTTCTTTTGGTAATAACTAAGTCTAATCAAGATTTTTTAAAGCCATTTTTGACTTCTTAAATATTAAGTTCTCTTTTTATAAGAAACTTTATTATACTAATTATTAAAACCCTTCTACTGAGTGCCATTTGGTTTGATTCCTATTGCTTTTTGTTCGGGGCTGCTATAAAGATAAGGGTCCTGGTGGCTTCGAGTTGTTCAGATAAGTAATACAAGCCATACGTTTAGCATTCTTCCCCCTCTGGCTCCTCAAATGAGGCAGTACACAGGCAGTGTGGGACTTGCTGCCATGGAGAAGACCACCTATCCCCAGTGTTTGAGAATTTGTCTCAGAGTAGTTAAGTAAGAAATCATTTTTAACGGTCAAATCTGAATAGCTCATTCATATTTAGGATTTTTAAACTTCTAATGTAGTTTTGTTTAATGGGGGAAAGAGCTCACAATATTTCAAATAATTTGCTCTCATTATTTAGCATTGTCTTGAGTGTCCTTAAATACATTCTAGGACATTATCTCTCTGCCTGTAATTTTTATATTAATGCTTGAGAAAAATAGCCTTTTTGTTTATTTTGAAAGCTGGAAATTAGAGTACACTGTTAGTACTATAAGAAATTTTTAGAAAGCAGTAATTGATACAGACACTTTAGAAGAGGTAGAAACTCAACAATTATTTTGTAAAGCCAGCCAAAATTCAGACAGTTATGTAAATTCCTGATATGCTGTCTTAGGAGCTTGTTCAGGATGATTCATTGGGATGGGGGAAGGTACCTGGCTTCACCTGAGTCCAAAGTATTTGTGCTTATATTAAATCATACTTTTAAAAGCACAGCTTTTGATTGTGTTAAACAGATAAATAATAGAGTTGTGGATACAACTTTGAGGTGATTACTCAGCACTGAATTTGCTAAAAGTCTGCTTATAACATTAAACTTCAGTAAAAGCTTTTTATCATCCTTTTAATGTTTGCAGAATCTGTAGTGATAACTGCTTTTTATTCGTGGTATTAGTAATTCGTGTCCTCATTTTTCCTTGATCACTCTAGGTAGGGGTTACCAATTTTGTTGATGTTTTCAAAGAACTAGCTTTTGGCTTAGTTCATTCTTCTGTGTTATTTGCTGTTGTCTGTTTTGTTGGTTTCTGCTTTTTAAAAAAATTCCCTTTCTTTTGCTTGCTTTGGGTTCACTTTGCTCTTCTTTTTCCAGTTTCTTCAGTAGAACTTTATGTGATTGATTTTTTTCTTTTTTCTAAATTCTTCCAAAATTTTTTAAACCTGGCTTCCTAGAGGTTGTCTCTAGGTAAGTATTGCTTAGTGGTTAGCCAATGATTCATCAGGGGTTTTGCTTAAACACTTTGAGCCAGTAAGGCTTTCACTCTTCAAAAGCTGACTGTGCCCCAGTTTTTACTTTCAGCTGGATCTTCTCTCCTTTGTGGGTATACAGGGCCTTGCACTTAGCTAGCTATTTGTCTCTCTTCAAGTCATTGATTTTGGTCTTTTTTTTCTTTTCTACTATTAATATAAACATTTAAAGCTATAAATTAACCTCTAAGCACTGCTTTAGCTGTGTCCCACTAATTATATGTTGGTTTTTCATTATCATTAAATTAGAAACGTTTTCTAATTTCTCCTTTGGCACTGGATTATTTAGAAATGTATGTCCAAAAAAAAAAAAAAAAGTGTGTCATTTCCAAATGGTTAGGATTTTGCTGTCTCTTATTGTTACTAATTTGTAACTTAATTCTGTTGTAGTTAGAGATTTCAATATAATTTCAATCCTTTTGAATTTACCGAAACTTGATTTATAGCCAAGCATAAGGTCTATCTTGCTGAACATACTATGTGCACTTAAAAAGAATGTGAATTCTGCAGTATATGGTTTCATCTCTAAGTATCAATTAGTGTTTTTCATATATTCTGTGTCTTTACTGATTTTTTATTTATAGTTCTA